AAAATTTAGACAAAATTCATGTGTATCAAAGCACCGCATAGTAAATTCCCTCCAAATTCTAGCTCAACATTAATGGATGGATGAATTTGAAAAAATTTTAAAAATAATGGATAAAAAATTGAATTTTGAGATTATGGATGAAAATGGAACTTCATGAAAATGTCAAAAATAAATTATCTATACAATTTACTCAAAATTAGAGATCTCTCACTTGTTTTCACATTTTTCTAACATATCTATGTTAAATATAAATTCTGGTAACTACTCAAAGATATTTGTTTTTATATTTTGATACATAATTATTTATTTTATTTCAATTTTTTATGTTACATGTAAATCTATTCATCTTATTTGGATATTGAATTAGATTTCATTAGTTATAAATAGAGGTGTTTATGAATAAGGCCGTATCAAGCCTTGTTAACCTTCTAAAGGTTTTATCCAATGTCTAACTTAGTCTATCAAGTTCGAAAAGCTTAAATTTTTTAAAAATATATTAAAATATTAAAATTTAAATGTATTTTTAAATTAAAATTAAATTAAAAAAATTTTTATTAATAATTTAGCATCCCAAACAAAATCAAGTTGAACCTGAAACTTGAAAATATTTATCCAAGACCTAATCCGAGTTAAGTTAGACCAAGCGAATAATCTGGTCGTAAATCGATCTAAATGCAAATTAGAAAGGTTTGTACTAAAAAATATTGTTATTATATGTATTTGTGGACCAAAGTGGATACATCATACATGACCAACATTGTAACTATATTGATTATTTTATTACTTTTGCTAATTAATTAATTAATTAATTTATTATATACATATGTATCATTGTTCGAATCCACCAGATACTCATCACCTTCCATGGAGATTGAAGAGGAACAAATGGGTTAATGATGAAATCACAACAATTAAACATTCTTAATTCAAGTGAAAAACACTCCACAAATGGCCCATTACCAAGCACATACATATATATAAATATATTTATTTATTTATTTATATATTTATTTATTTAAAATTTAAAGAAAAAAAGAATGGAATATTACTTTCTAATTTCACAATAATTTAACACCATATTTGTCAACACAAGTCATTAGAAAATTTGGTGCAATCAAATATTCAGTCGTATATACCTAGTGAGAGATGAGATTCCTTTGTCTGCTGTAAAGACTATCAGATTCCTTTTCTTTAAAATAATACATTTTGATCAGTAAACGAGTAGCACTCACGCCCCCCCCCCCCCCCCCCTTCAATAATGCATTCATCAAGTAAATTATCTGTACATGGTTTGCAAATAATTTTGAGTTAATCACATCTTTGTAATCATCTTTAATTTAAGCAGATTAGGTATACCATCAAATTTTTTATTGCATTACAATCTTATTAATTGAATATCTCTTAACATACACATCACAAAAAGTACTATTAGTTTCTATTTTAAACCAGATTAAAATAATTAATATAGGTAGGAAAAATCAAATGCAAAATTTATTAATTTTGGATTAGACTCCTCTTTATTATTTTTTTTATAATGGATGTCGAAATTTAAAAATAAGAAGAATGAATTATATGTGTTAAAATTTAAAATTTTAAATTTATTGAAAATAATCTCTTAAAAGGACTGCAAGAATCAATTAAATTGAACCCCAAATTTCTCTCCATATTATTTTCTAATACATTCATCAGCACCAATTACATGCATAAGATCTACATGTGAATTGTAAAGATCATACTTGTGAATGATGATTAAAATTTTATGAAAAAGTAATAGATAGACATTGGATCGGGCTGTTTATGATAGGTTTGTAAGTTTAATTAATTAGATTGAATTATGCCAATTAACCAATTAAATGCTCTATGATTGGGTTATGGCCAGCTAAAAGCAAATCTAAACAAAATTAAGAAAGACTCAGCTTTCTAAGCTGGATTTATAACTTGTACTTGATCCCGGATTGTTGTGATAAAGGTTTGGAAAGATTGATTACGAGGGCACTGTGTATTGAACAAGCGGCACACGCTGTATTATTTTAAAAATTGTTTTCGAAAGAACATTTCTGGCACTTGCGTTGCCTTGTTTTTCTTTTGTCTTTTGCTTGACATTCATCGGAGCCCAAGTGGGCTTCCTGTCATTTAAAATTGAGTAACTCTTAATAATTATTTTTTAAAAAATGATTTAGTTATATTTAACAAATATGAACGGGACTGAAGTGATAAATAAATACAAGCTAGTTGTTTTTGCTTGATTTTTTTACAAAGAAAAATATAGCCCAAGAATAAAAAAAAAAATTATAGATGGTAGAGTTTGAATAATAAACTGAATTAAGCCTCGAGTTTATTTTTGCTTGGTTTTGAGTTCTTTAAACCTTAGTTTAAGTTCCATCTTTCTTGGGTCATTGTAAACAACAACCATGGAATAAACTTCATGGATTTTGGTTAGAAAAATGAGGACACACACACTAACGAAAAGTACTTTTAGAAAAATAGTGTACAGTAAAACCTCTATCAAACTAAAACATGAGCCAAAAATCATCCGGCTTATGTTATTTTTATCCTAGAAGCCTGAAAAAGCTCAATAAACTAAAACCCTTTATCCAATTTTTCCATATTATTGTGAAACTATAATTTATAGTATTGCAATTTGCCACATCTCCCGAAGCTTCATCTCCTTATTTCGTTTAATTCAAAGTGCTAACTTTGTTCTTTCTTTCCCTTTCCTTTTTTCCTTTTACATTGTTTTGTCATTCATATTTATTTTTCTTCACTTTTCGTCTTTGAGCTTTCTCCAACGACAAGTACATGAAAACTTTGCCTAATTTTGCCGACCTTCTTGATGCAATGCCTTTTATGCTGGAATTTTGAGACATTTCCCAATATCTAGCAAGAGAATGTGTGGTGCTTCTTATTTTTGTAAGATTGTTAATGTTAATATGCATATATTCTCTAAGTAATATAAGCAAAAGCTTATAAATGAAAAGTATTTATTCCTTGAGACCAACCAGCATATGCTTTATCTTCCACGTGGAGGGATATTTCTTAATCTCAATTAATGTTAAGCTTAAGCATATGATTATTTTAATTTCCATGTTAAATATAGTAGTAGGATACTTTTCGAATACGTATGCTTTTATTATAGAAACTTAACAGCAAAGGTTAACGAGGAAGCATAAGTTAAAATTGAAGGCCAGAGATGTCAGTGTGCTTGATGAGATCTCCATCTCTGAATTATAAAGAGAGACATAAACTAATGGAAAATCATACGTGTAAAAGGGGGCTACGATGGAAATATAATTGTCTTTGCTTAGAGGAGAATCAAACCATATTTATTATATATTTAATCTTAAAAAAATAAAAAAGGGGGTTTCCTGTGGTATTGACAGCATTATTAGAGACTAAATTATGTTAATAAGATACTGACTTTATTGTTAAAAAAGGATGCAAATGGGAAGGGTTTTAAGGGCTGCTGGGAGTGGAACCAAATGGAGGGTTGTTGATAGTGTTGTCTTCTTTCTCTTTTGATGGTTTTTGTTTTGGATGTTTAGTGTGGCAGAGATTTCATTGATTTTATTTTTGGTGTAACTTTTAATTATTTTGCCCATTCCAAATAGACTAGCTAGGTTTATTGCATGAGGAAGATAGCTAGAGATTAGGGTAAGTTTTAGTATAGGTGGGCTAACCTCATTGAAACATTAAGGCAATATGAATAGAAAAATATTTATGCATTATGAAACATTATATTCAAAAACAATTTGTTAATTTTATAGGTAGGAAAACCCAACAAAAATCTTCCTTACAAAAGGTTAAGGTAAATATTTTTTTTCTTTTTTGGTTTAATGGGTGACCGGTGGGTAATCACAAGTTTTGTTTTATGAACTTGGTTCCATGAGAATTTCCATCTTGACGTAGCTTAATCGTAATAGTCAAATTTCAATTAAAATCAGATTTATTAATAAAAATCTAATTTATTCATTAAAACATAATCTATCTATTTATTAGTAGTTAAGTTTTTATAATAGTGGTTTAATTAGTCAAATTTTCTTAAAAATTATGAAGTTTTTGACGTCAAAACTTGGGCAACCAAAATTAAGCTAATAATTTTTTTTTTTTAACATTTGAGGTTGTAAGGTAATGAATTTTGATCATTGAAATTAAGAGAATACTTGGTTAATAGATTATGCGACTTTTGGCAGCTAATAACTAAACTTGGTATAATATAAATTCTAATCACATCATTAATGAAGCATCAATCGACTCGGCTCTAACAAGATTAAGGTGAAATTCGAAGTAAGATGAATAATTACGTTAGTACTCAAACTTTATGGGCTTGAAGCTGATTAATTAATTGGACTTTAGGCCGACTTATCATAGGGCCAGTGAGATAGCCCTTGAACTGCAATAATATCATAGCAGCAATCCGCAAACTGGGACGCGTTGTGCCCAATCTACAATGAGTCTTTTCTTTCATCTGCTGAAGCAAGAAATTCTCCCGCAAGATCAAAGGATGCTAGAAGAGTGTTTTTTTTTTTTTTTTTTTTTTTTTGAGGGGAGGGGATTAATAGTTGGTTTCAAATATTCATATATTTATAAAATATTAGAACAAATTAGTTAGTTAGTTTCTTTACAAATAATTATTTTTTTTTACAAAAGAAAAATACAACCTGAAGATAAAAAAAATTACAAATACTAAGATTTAAATTCTAAACTTATTTTCACCTTAAAGATGGTTCATAGAGTAATTGAATTAACTTTCATATTTAAAATAATTAATCTTTTGCTTAGTAGGGTGACTAGAAAATTAGAAAAACAAAAAATGGAAATGTAAAATATATATATATATATATTTATATTTATATGAAGTCATACAATTAGGCTATATTTGAATTAATTAGGCTATATTTGAATTCCACCGCACTTCTGATGTAATACGAATGAACTCATCATATCACTAGTTAAATCCAAATGCTTACTCAAGTGAGATTCATTCAGTATAAATTTTTTATTAATTTTTTTTTTAAGTCACAGTTACAATAACTTTTTTTTTCAATAGCAGCTAAATAACCTTTATTATTGCTTTCAATCTCACCGGAACCAATCTCACTATCAGTCAAATGAAGCCTTAATATAGGCCAATTTAAAAGTGTGATGTTCTTTAAACAATACAGAAAAAATAATAAATGTAGAATAAAAACAGGTTTTACCCCAATTTCAAACTGGCATTATCTACCAAAAGAAACAAAACTTTGTTAGAGCAAATGCAAAGTGCATACACCTACAAAAGTTCATTTAAAAAGGATCGGATTCTGTTCTTCCAGGATTATTTCGGCCCTTGGGACATGTTCCTAGCTATAATGCTGCTTCCAAGAAGTAACACAAGGACTATGACTTCATATGTTCTTGATGAGACCTAGATTGTTTTTTGTTTTGACTACCAACAGATGATCCTCCTTTTTGGTTTAGAGAGATAGAGATGGCTCTGGCCGCTGTAATTGCAGAATCTCCCCTCTTGACAATTTTCTCAAGTTCCACCACCTTCTCCGACAGCAATCTAACATTTGTGTCGGTGGACTGAACCAACTTGTTTGCAGTTTCCAAAGCTGTGCATAGCTGGAATAACCAAAGGGGATCAATTTAACAGTCGGAATGATTAAAGTAACTTCTTAAACAGTCGTTAAAACCAGACTGAAGATGAAGGATGTTTAAAAAATAGCTAAAGTTAATAGAACTGATGTCCAAACTGAAGCAATCTAACCGGTTAAAGCAATAACAATACTTTAGTCCCTTAACAGATTCCTGTTTGAATATGTTCTTGGATGCATAAATTGCAACAGATATAGTTGCAAACAATCAATGGAAAGCTTTTCTATATATCTATTACCTTTAAAGTTAGAGCTGTCCACGAGTGGTCCGAACCAGCAAGTGCCCCATTCAATTTCTCATAATTTTCCTGAATAAAACAACTAAGCACTTGACACAGCAAAGAAACAAATATGTGTACGCATAATGCCAAAACCGACACATACTAAGCTTGCCAGAGAAACGTATGGAAGTGATCATTTCAGCATTTACCAGAGCAAATCATGAAAACATATGAGCCATCCCATATGATATTCAAAGCTCCTACAAAATTTTTCCCATCTCCAATTCTAAAATTGAAAAGCAACGATAAACAAAACTTAGTTGTTTCCCCATCATGTATAAGGGTGAGATCAGAGGCATATGATAAAGTCTTTGAACTGAATAGGCCTATGCTTTAAAATACAAGGGTGATTATTTGAGGAAAAGATGTTAATGGAACTTACAAAAAGCAATGAACATTTCACAGCAAAAATTCAAACTGCTAAAACAATTTAACATATTCGAGGGGAAAAAAAAATAAGTAGCATTAACCATTTTCCCTATGGTAATCAGACATGAAAGCAGTGACGCATGTGCAAAGGTAGGGTGTCGATGGACCACCCCAAAGGTTTGAAAACAAGGAAGTTTGACGGAAAATTTTCCCTAGACTGCCCATAATTTTTCTTAAACACCCCAATAATTTTATCTTGAACATATTTTTCTTAATTCCCTAACCACTCCACCCACTGCCACTGCCCAATATTCAGTCACAACTCACAGCCGGCCAACACCCACACCCCACAGATACCCTCTGCAACGACACCCCCGAGAAAATATCCTGTATCCGCCACTGCATGAAAGTATTTTACTTAAGACAGTTCAATCTTTAGGTAATGAATTCCAAAGTTTTGGTCCAGCTAAAGTTAAGACTTTTGCTACAACTCAAATTGATTTTTCAATCAAAACATAAAATTTAGAAAAAGGAAAAGAATTAAAAGTTTTTCAATTTGAGATCTGCCCTATGGTCTTGTAAGAGGAACAAGAAAGGAACCTGGAAGAGTTTGGTGAGGTCCAAGGATTGAGGGGCATCAATGGAATTAAGAATTGAAGATGACGATGATGATGGTGATGGAAGACTGGTATCATGGTGGTGATGGTGGTCTGGAGCTGCACCAGATTCTTCCCCAACATCGCTAAGCAGATCCCCTATGGTAAGCAAAGGCCCTCCAATACCTCTCATCCCTTTTTTCCGTTTTTCTTTTCTCTGACTTTCTGCCTCTCGGCGCTCTTGCACTCGGTGTCTGGTTTAAGGTTTCGCCCTATTTCATGGGCTTAAAGAAGTGGATTTTAGGCCCATTAAGGCCCTGTTTAAGATTTTCAGCTCAAAAGAACCTGAAAAACACCTGCTTTCTCATGTTTCCTTGGCAACAGGAGAAAGCAACGAACCATGAGAAAGCAAAGCAGTCCTCTGATCAACACTTTCTCTAAATGATCGGTTGCTTATCAGGTACACTTCAAATCCTTTATAATTTAATGGGTTAAAATTGTTTTTAAGTTTTTTTTTTCTACTTATTTGGGGTACACTTCAAATCCTTTATAATTTAATGGGTTAAAATTGTTTTTAAGTTTTTTTTTTCTACTTATTTGGGATTTTGTCGGTTTCTCGGGGTTTAGGGGATTGGCTTTCATTTTCTCTGATAACAAGTACCGCTCATGGCAGAAAATGAAGGGTTTTTTTTTTTTTTTAATTTAAGTTTAGGTGCAAAAGATCAAACAGCTAGCAGAGGAGGAAATGGCTGGCCAAGAGGTTAAGCAGCTTGAGGAATGCTCAGTTTCCAAGTGAGTTTCTGCTTTTTCCTCCTGCAAATTTGAATTAGGTAGTTTAAAGTAGCACTGACTGACTATGAAATTGGGATTTATTCTTATGAGCCTTTATCTATGGCTCTTTAGCCTTGGTGCCAAGGAAGATTCAGGAGCAAGTGGGCCCTAAGATTTGTGTCAAGGATTACTTTTAAGTTTTAATTAATAAAACTGCAAATTCAGTGAAAAGACTTCATTACTAAATTATAAATTGGCATTTGCTATTACAGCGCAAGGTGTTATGGAGTAATTCACAACTAATTGGACCACTACTGATAATGTATGGTTACGTGCACCTGGCTGAAAAAATCAAAATAATGTTGAAGTGCTATTGCAGCCCTTTTAAACCAATCCACTCATAAACCATTTTGATAATGCTTTTAGATTGTTATAGAGCTTTCAGCATGATAATACTTAACCTGTAATGTGTCTGCAGATGAACATACTACAACTCAAAGCATTGAGTTTGATCATTTTTTACCCTTCATAAGTCATTCTCAATTTTCTCAGCCTGGTTGCCTGATCTCCAGATTGTTTCTTTGATTATATGTTGTCATTAGATATATTGTGACTATTATTGTGGAATACCTGTAGTGCATTAGGTACATGGATATTTTCAGTAGCAGGGGCTTTGCTAGCAATTCCAGTGGGTATAAAGCGGAAATCTTTAGCACCCCTTGTGTTCTTTGGCACAACTGGTACAATGCTCTATATCATTATGGGAATCAGTGCTTGTGAAAGAGAACATGCAGAACGCCAGATGAAGCTATTAGAAGCTCAAAATTCAGCAGCAGATGATTCTACTTTTTCAGAGACAGGATCTGAATCACATTCCTAATCTTAGAAGCCGTACATTCAAATCTTTGAAGGTGCTTTGATCTGTCGTTCAAACTAGCTTGGCTGTAGAAGAGACCTAGTGAATTGCTGCTTCTGGGTTGGCTAATTTTCTCCTTGTATATATGGCATTGATCATTCTCATACTACTGTTAAAACTATTAGAGGTGAATAGGAAATTGGCACCTTGTCTTGAAGCTATGTTTTCTGTTGATTTAGCATAGCTTTACAAAGAAAATCATTCAACTACCATGCATGTCTTGGCTTAATGCACTTGAACAAGGCTTTAGGCTACTTTAAGACAATTTTATGCAACTAAAGCATTCATCATAAGAAAACTATGGCAAGCATATATGAAGCAGAACATTTTATCCATGAATTTAACATTGACTTCATTCCAAAGACCAAATGTTTTTGAAGCATGGAGTTGACACGGAGACCATTTCAAACCTCCCATTTTCTGTATCAAGGCTGGCATTTACAGCAACTTCAAATTTCAAAGGACTGTTTCTTCCTTGCTGCATCAACATTTTAAGAAGAACTAACCAAATTAGAAAAACATTTAAGTTTTTATTACGTTGAAGGTTTTGCCCACTTTCCTGCCTCTTATGTGCATCCAATGAGCAATCATCACTTGTTCCAGCAGCTTTGGGAGCATTACTGGTTCTTGTACCACGGTGACCCCTCCTTCCAACACATCCTGGATCAGGGTTTTTATCACGCTTGTACTCTCTATAGCATAAGTAAACTCTTTCAGCCTTGATGTTTCCGAACAATTTCTCTGCAGCATTGTTTTTTACCAGTATTGGCATGTGTTCAGATTCATCCCATAAATATAACTGCAATCAAAGACAAGAAATAGAATTCCAGGGAATAAGATAATCTAAAGAAAAGCAATTGATAAAGAGCAGCCCTTATGATAAGTAGATAATTGGGAAAAAATGCAGGTGATGAATGAACTCAATGCTCATGTTCTCACTGTTCTAGAAATGATAATGAATTCCAAACAAATCACTGATAAATCTCAATACCATTTCAAGGAGAAAACAAAACAAACGATGGGAAGAGAGAAAAAGAAATAAAAATAAAAATAAAAACAAAGACCATGAAGTTAAGAAATAATAATTAGCAAAACAAATATAACAAGAGAACCAAGACCCTGCAAAAACATTGTATACATGAAATGCAAATATAGGTTTCGAATAAAGGTTAATATAATGAATACCCAGATATAACAAAACAGACATAATAGACACAGAAATTGAAATCACTAAAAGGGGTAAGGTCAAGAACCCAAAATTTTCATGAAAGCTTTTCTTCTAATTCTAGCAATCTAAGCATATGGGAATATGAACAGACTTCTGATTCTTGAAATAAAAAATGATGGCACAAAACTTAACCACATATATCCGCACAAATCAGAAATTCAAATTTCTTAATTTGAAACTTTTGACTTGCACTGAAATAATCTTAAGTCATATGCATCCTTCCAAACAATTACTTCTTTTATTTGCGGATGAAGCTATATTTTCAAAATTCAGCAGATTGTTCAGGTCGATGCATAGAATAATATGAACAATCCTTCTCTAGAAACTATCTTTAACCATTTTAGCCGAAACGATGAGGTATTTCCATTCCAATGAGAATAAAAGTATTATGTGCACTAAAATAAGTGCAAGAAGTACCATGAAAGGCCTATATATCAAGCTGACTGCATGAAGGCTATCTGAGCTTTTCTCACAATAGAGTGGAAGAGAATTCTTCCCAATGGTAGACCTGCTACAGAGTATAGAGACACTGAGTGTCCTATGAATTCATAACATTAAAAGCTATGCAAGAAATTTGAAGATATTTCCATACCCATGCTCTGGATCCAAAGGGGAACCACATAGCCGGCAACCAGTGCAAATAAGATCTTCTGCTAAATTATTGTCTCCTGATGTATACAGTCTCCTGCTGACGAACATATTTTCATTCTCAGACTCACCAATAGGCCTCCAAGTAATTGGCAGAAAAATTTCGCCAATAGAAGCACTAAATATTGCCTTACAGTGACTAGTCAGGCGCAATACTTCAGAAAGTGAGGGACATTCTCTAAATTTATTTGGTTCTGGCACTTTCCAGTTTCTGGAGAGTCGCCTATTCTGCAGTGAAATTAAGAACATATGTTACTCAAAACATTAAGAACAAGTACAGTCAAACATGGAAAGACAACATGAATTAACATCCAATAAAACTGCAATATAGAAGAGGCTACAGCGCTAAAAGACCAGTAGGCAAAGGGAAAAAGCATGATCATAAAACATCCTACAGACATTCACTGTTATCAAGTATGAGGAATTTCAGCTAGATTAAATAAAATGCAACAAGATAAATATATGATAATGAAAGGTACATTATCAAAAAAGAAAATCATAATGACAAGGTATAGACAAATAGCAAGTGCTAGAATTACACGAAACTCGACTACATAGTATAAAATAGGAAGGATAGGAAAGTGCACTTGACAGTCATATGCTTCGACATCGTGAATAGCAGTATATCCGGTCCGCTGCACCCATTCTATAACCTTCCTAAGCTTTTCTTTAGCCGCCATCCCCACTCGACACTCTGCTACTAATTCAGTTGCACCTACAAAATGTATGAAACACAGGCTCCACTTAGTGAAAAAGCTTCTCTTGTTCAATAATTGAACTCAAACTTTTAACACATACATACATACATACATAAATACATACAGACATATATATATAACACCATTTTCATTCAAAAAATAAACATTAAAAAAATAAATTTGAGATATACCCTTTGAAACTAGGGAGTCGTAAGGGTAGACTAGACGGTGAAAGGATGACCAGTCCACAGTTCTGGCCTCGAAAACGTCACGAAATTTGGTGATCTTGACATCTGACAAATATGATGATTTAAAATGGAAATATAGTTAGTAGCATAGTAAAAAAGAAAAAAAAAAAAAACTGAAAGTAATTAGTATACTTTGCAATAAAACGACGTCGCCGGCAAAGACAATGGACCGCATTTCTTTCTTCCATAAGGAGACGGAGAATAAGGGTAAAGTGTCATCGCCGACCTGAATGTCTGTCCTGATTATTTCTCCTCCTTTGGACAATTTATACTACTTTTTCACCCAACAAAAATTAAAAAAAAAAAAGTCAAAAAATAAATTCGAGTCTTTAAGATTAGAAGAAGTTATTAAAACAAAGAGAGAGTGAGAAATTAAAGAAACCTGAACAGGAGTGGAACGGTGGACGAAAACGAGGAGCTGGACGAAATGACCCTCGTGATCATAAGCTTTTGAGAGATCGATCAACGGTCCGTACCACGATGTCATTGTATTGCTTTGCTTTCTCAAAATACTACTTTCTATGCCTAGGAAATTTCCATGTCGCCCCCTAATCTTCGGCTTTTCCGTAAAAAAGGGCATTCGCCTTTCAGAGAGAAAACACTCAAACCATTGGGCACTTGCATTTCTCTGGTACTACAAATCCTCAAATATAGTATTATTTTCTTCAGCAACTTAAAATACAATTATAATTCATACTATACCAATACACAATTTTAGTTACGATTATCCTTTATTATAACAGCAGTAGAAAAGAAAGAAAATTTTTAAAAAATAATTTTTGTGTGTGATTGGTAATAAAGATAACAAAATAATAATAAGGAAAAAAAGGGGTTAAAAGTAAAATTGTAAGTAAAATTAATACAAAATTTAACTTAATTAGTTTATATAATTATTTTTGAAATAAAATATAATTAAAACCACAACATCTATTTTTGTCTCATATTATACTCTTTTATATCAGCAAAATTGTTAATTTAAGTAAAATAAATGTTTTTATTTGAAAGAAAGAAAAAAAAAATAAATTCACCAATTTTTTCCGCTCTTTATGTCTCCAAAGTGGTGAACTAGTTTGCAGCCTTCTGAATTGGGTTTTGAGTAACATGAAATTCCATTCATCATGTATCTCAGTCTTTTGAGCTTTCTAAAAAATTTTTTGAAATTGATTATTTAATGGTTATTTGACATATATAAATACTAGCTTTTTAACCTATACAATGCATGAGATTTTTTATTAAAATTTTCATAATTTTAAATTTATTTTTTAATTATTGATCTAATATATAATCATACATTTATAAATGCTAAGTTACAATTAAATGACAATTTATACATAATATATTATAAATGATACTGTTCATTTAAAAGAAGTCTAAAATTTTGTAAATTTTCAAGAATTATAAAATTCCTTTCTTTTCATAAAAAAATATTTTCTTCAATTCATTTGTTAAATACTAAAAATTTTGCTACCACTTATTTCTTTTTTGATAAAAAATTAGGAATCAATATTTAAATAGTTAACATTAATAATTATTTTTATCATGATATTGATTGGGTGTGTATATATATATATATATAATTGAAAAATAAATCACAATTATTAATTTAGTCATAACCATTTGCTTTTTATTAGTTTTTATTTTTTACATACTTTAAGTAATTATTACACAAATATATTGAGCTAACAATTATTTCTATATATGTCAATAAATAAAGCTATTTTTTAGAAAAAAAAAAAGGAAAATAATGATTCTTTATGTTATGCTTAAAAACTTTTTTTGAAATTTTTTTTATTTTTAGTAATTTTTAACATAATTGATAGTATTTTTTATGGGTTAGATATGGTAGTGATAATCATTCTTCTCATATGATTCATTGTAAACAAACAAATTCAATAATAAAAAGTATAGCAAAAAGAAATAGAGAATATAAGTGTACATATTAATTTATCAAGATTAAAGATATACAATAATAACCGCAAATATGTTAATAAATTAACAAAAAATAAAAAACATTGAAGAAATGAATAAGACAAGAAATATACAATACAAAAAGTTAATTATAATCAATCTAAGCAAAATTAAAAAAAGTTATGGACTAAAGAGAAACAAATAAATTAACCAAATATATAATATAAAAATATTTGAATTAGAACATAAATAAAACATTATATTTGTTTTCAAAATAAAAATATATTTTTATCTAACTTTTTTATCAACATTCAAATGTCTCATACTTTTATATAAAGATGTAAACTCTTATTATTTTAAAAATACTTGTTTTCTAGTCAATAATTTATTAACTTATCTAAAAGTATTAAATTTAAATAATCTATTAAAAAATTTTCAATTTTTGATAGATTTTGATTTGAATTTAAATAATTATCTAAAAATATTAAATTTAAATAATTTATTAAATAGAATTATTTGAGAGAAAATAAAATTTTATTAAGTATAATATATATTTTGGAACTATTATTAAATTTAAAAATAATAAATTATGATTTAATATATTTGAATTCAAATTTTATGCAAAAGTTTCAATCTCAGATAGATTTTTATTTCAATTTAAATAATTATCCAAAATATTCAATTTAAATAATTTATTAAAAAATATATTTATAAATAAAATGATATAAGTATTATCTTATTTGTCATTAAAAGAGATTATCCATCTAGACATCTACATAAGCAATTTTTATCATGTAACCTTATATGTTGTAATATAATATAATATATATGTATATTAGATTGAAGATATACAATAGTAAGAGCAAATATATATTAATAAATTAACAAAAAATAAAAACATTGAAAAAATGAATAAAACAAAAAAATATAATACAAAAAGTTAATTATAATCAATCTAAGCAAAATTTAAAAAAATTATAGACTAAAGAGAAACAAATAAATTAACCAAATATATAATAAAAAATATTAGAATTAGAACATAAATGAAACATTATATTTTTTTTCAAAACAAATATATATTTTTATCTAACTTTTTTATCAATATTTAAATATCTCATATTTTCATATAAATACGCAAGCTCTTATTACTTTAAAAGTACATACTTTTTAGTTAATAATTTATTAACTTATCTAAAAGTATTAAATTTAAATATCTATTAAATAATTTTCAATCTTTGATAAATTTTGATTTGAATTTAAATAATTATATAAAAATATTAAATTTAAATAATTTATTAAATAGAATTATTTTATAGAAAATAAAATTTTATTAAGTATATATATTTGAAACTGTCATTAAATTTTAAAAAAAATAAATTATAATTTAATATATTTGAATTCAAATTTTATGCAAAAATTTCAATCTCAAATAGATTTTGATTTCAATTTAAATAATTTATTAAAAAATTTATTTGAAAAATAAAATAATATAAATATTATCCTATGTGTCATTAAAATAGATTATCCATCTAGGTATCCACATAAGTAATTTTTATCGTGTAGCCTTGTATGTTATAATACATACATACATACATACATATATATATATATATTATATGTGGATTGCAATCAAATTATTAAGTTTTTAATATATAAAAATAAAATTTAAAATTACATTTAACATATATTTCTTAGGTTATAAATTTTTTAATATCTTTTGTTGGATAAATTCATAAAAATTAAAATAACTTATTTTAGAATAAGTAATTGTCCAATAAAAAAAAACACTATTGTTATGCATGGAAACGTAATTTTATAAAATGAATTTGGATTTTATTTACTATATAAATTATAACAATAAAACGTATGTAGTATGCACAAATTAATAAAATTCCATACGAATTGATTTAATTTGAAAGATATAAAAAGATAAACTTCAAATTTATAAATAAGTATAAATATTTCAAACTTACTATTAAATAGATATCCAACAAATATTTATATTTGAAAAATAATTATAAAATAATGTTTATATTTACATGTGCTTTATCATACATTTTATACTAATGTTAAAATTCAAATATCTTCTTTTAAATTTAAGTTTCTAAACACAATCTATAGGTTGTTGGAAAAAATAAAAATAAAATATGTTCTCCAATTTTAAGTACAATTATATATAAAGAATTTTTATATTTTAATTTCAAATTGAAATAACTATAACATATAAATTTTAAATTTAAAAAAAAGATAATATTTTTAGAAACTTAATTAGTTAAAATAATTTTATGAAGATTAAAAATCTCGTGCATTGCACGGGTCAAAAACTATTCTTTTTTTAATTTCATAACCATTGCACTCACTGTTATTATCCGATATCCAACTATAACTTTGTTGCCAGCTAATTAAGTACTAACATTCTTATTAAATTTTCATCTAAATTATTAAAAAAATCAAATTCTCATTTTTCACTAATCATTTACCTTTTCCTTCTAAATTGTCACTTAAACAAAATTAAATATTTAATAAAAAATAAAACCTAATTTTGTCTTATTCCATAGTTGACAACTATGGAATGAGCATTTTCAATGATAAAGTTGATAAAAAAATAATTTGTGGAATAAAAATTTGTATTCTTAGTTGAATGATTGTTTAATTATATATATTGAGAAAGATATATTTAATAGTATTAGAAATTATGTAGTTTTTTTTTTTTTTAAGATATGAGAACTCATCATTGACAATTATAATAATATAACAGTATATTATCTCAAAATTTTATTTACAAGTTTTTATATATTATAAATAAATATGCATAAAAAAAAAATTCTGGATGTGCTCCTGTATCAACAATTTCTTTAATGTGTTAGGACACAATTTGGAAAAACATGTAAAGGATTGATGAACAATCAAAATTGTTTTTCACTTAATTTGAAATCATTGCTTTCAAATATGAGTTCATCAAAAGATATGTGAATCATTCAAACCATGCTAAGCATATGCTCAACAAATTGTTGAATTTTTTTTTATTATGCAAACCAAATTTTAATTTTACATAGTCTTAATGCCCAAGGTCTTAGAACAAGGTGATTTTCATAATTTCCTAATTGAAGAGAAATCATACCTTGATTCATAAATTTTTTTTATTTAGAAATGGTGTTTTATAATTTTTTTTGTTCTCTCTCTTGATCCTTTGACTTAATACACACTCTTAATGGATAAATTGTATCAATTTATAGGTAGAAAGAGTGAAACAATTTATTTTTTCATTAAGGCCATTCAATTCATATGTTCTATCACCGTATAAATTTTAAACAAAAATTTTCTTTTCTTTTAACTATATTCATTAATTTTTTTATAAATAAAACAAAACTCTCATTCATTATAATTAAACTCTTTTATTTTAATTACATTTATTAAGCAAACGTTTTGTTTACGTTCGTTAATTAAATAAAGCTTTTGCTTTAATAACATTAAATAAACTTAACTTATTTGCTTAAGTTTATTAAACCATAAATAAACGTTTATTTACTTAAGTTAAATAACAACTTGTAGGCCATAATATCTAACATTCTCCAACTTGGCCTATGTGATATTATTGAACTTTACGTTTTAACAATAAAACATAATGCTTAGAATATAAGTTAATCATTTCTTAAGTTAATCAATTTGTAAATCATCATTAAGCCAAAACTAATAAAGATCATAGCAGTTGTATGTCATTAACTTGATATAATTCATTTTATGTATGATATT